GGAAGCATGAGATAATTGGAAGTTCTCTTAGATAATACCTATCATTTTGAAGACAAATTCATGGCACTTTATGCACTAGTCAATTGAATGCCAACTAAATCACTCTATCTTGAGGAAACTAGTACTTATAATATCCCCTAAAATGATTGGCTAACTGCATTTTAAATAGATTCGTTTTCATCTTATTCTGTGACAAAGGGGTTACAAAATGGTCCTATAGTATTAAGAAGTATAATTTGTAATTATAGTAATGATAATAACAAAAATACGAACAAGCATTCATGTAGTTATTTATTTAACAATAGGTTTATTAGTAAAGCAAAAGCTCAACATTGATTGATAATACTTCAAACCTCTAAAACATATGTCTTTTTCTTTGTTTTATAAACTTTTTTATTAGTACATGTGCCATACATGTTGAATGAATTCATCATGGGGAGTTGGTATACGTACATACTCTTAATCCACTTTACTTCCCTTTCTTCTCCCCTCCTCCACCTGGCCCTCAATCCCAAAATGTCCTTCCCATTTGCAAAAGACCTATTTCCCTGTTTCCTATCGTCTACCTTTTATTTTGCTCTTTAAATTGTTATATTTTGGATTTCTCACATAAGAGAAACCATGTGATAGTTAATCTTCTGTGTCTGATTTATTCACTTAACAATTTAGTCTCTAGATGCATTCATTTTCTACAAATGACTCAAATGTACCCTTTTATGACTGAATATCACGTATTTTTCAATTCAGTTAATGGATGGGTACAATTTAGATATACGTAATGAACACATTTGTTGCAGTGAATTTGCTCCTCTACATGATATATAATAATTCCTCTTTTTTTCAATTGCTTCTCCTCCTTCAAACCTTCTTCCCTTCCTCATTTACAAAGCCTTGTTTCCATTTTATACTTCCTTTTTCTCCTTTTCCTTCTTATATTTTCTCCTCACCCCTTCCTAGTTCCCTTTTCTTTTGAACAATTTCTTCCTGTTTCACAGTATCTATTTCATACTTTGGTCCTTATTTACCCTTTTGATTTTTCACATCAAAGAAACAATGTGATATTTCCACAAATGTGTCTGATTTATTTCACTTAAGAGTATGGTCTCAAGGTACATCCCTTTACCTAGGAATGTCTCAAGTTTACACTTTCTTGTGATTGAGTAGTATTCGATTATATATTCAGAAAACCCTCACATCTTTTTTTAACCTATTTCTTGGTTGATGAGTATTTGGTTGTTTACAATATTTATCTATTATAAACTGTACTACTGTAAACATGGGTGCACATATATCACTGTGGTATATTATTTTCAGTTCTTCTGAGCAGATACACAGTAGGAGAATTGCTGAGTAAAATGGAACTTCTAATGCTTAATTTCAGATGGCAAGATACTCTACATAGAACACCACAAAAGCTCCACCAAAAGAATTCCAGATTTAATAACCAAATTCAGCAGTGTAGTTGAATACAAAATCAACACTCAAGAATCAATAACATTCCTGTGTACAAACAACAAACTCACAGAGAGAAATTTGGGAAACACCACCCTTCACAATGGCATCCAGAAAAATGAAATGCTCAGGAATCAATCTAACAAAGAAAGTGGAGTATCTCCACATTGAAAATTATAGTACTCTTAAAAAGGAGATTGAAGAGGATATCAGAAAGTGGAAAGATGTCCCTTGCTCATAGATAGAAAGAACCAACAGTAAAAATGACCCAACTCTCATAATTGCTACCTAGATTTAATGAAATCCCAATCAAAATACCACTAGTATACCTCACAAAACTAGAGAAAACATCCCTAAAATTAATTTGGAACCAGAAAAGACCTAGAATTGTAAGAACAATCCTAGGCAACAAAGGTAAGGCAAAGGATATCACAATTGCTAACTTAAAATTGCACTACAAAGCCACTGTATTAAAAACAGCATTGTACTGGCCAAAGTGGGGGGGGAACAGCTCTGAGGAACAGCTTAGAAGATGAAAGAACCAATTCCAAGGACACTTTGGCAAAGTAGTCAAATATGTTCATTGGAAGAAAGATAGCTTGTTTATGACATGGTGCTGGGAAAACTGGCTTTTTACATGTCAAAGATTAGAACTAGACCCATGTCTCTCACCATGCACTAAACTAAAATCAAAATAATTCAAATATTTAAATATTGAAACAGAAACACTAAATCTACTGAAAGAGACAATAGGTAGATCCCCTGAAGAGCGGTTTAAGCAAAGATTTTATGGCAAAAATCCCAGTTGCACAGGAAATACTACAAAGAATCAGCTGGAATCTCATTTACTAGAAAGCCTTTGAACATCAAAAGAAATTACCAATAGACAACACAACAGAGTGGAAAAATTTTTTTCCAGCTTTACCTCAGACATAGAACCAATATCTAAACATATAAAAAACTGAAAAAATCAGACTTCCAAAGTTTAAAAACCCAAAAATGGGCATCTGAGTTGAACATACACTTCTCAAAGGAAGAAATATAAATGCCATCTAAATATATGAAAAAATGTTCAACATTGCTGGTCAATTGAAAGATGCAAATTAAACAATGCTGAGATTCCATATCACTCTAGAAAGAATTGCAATTATCAAGAAATCAACTAATCACAAATGCTGACAGGTTTGTGGAGAAAAATGAATCATTTTCCCCTGTTGGTAAGAGTGTAGCCTGGTGCAACCACTGTGGAAATCAGTGTATAGATTCCCTAAAATATATTTCTATGTAAATTTCTATGCATCTATGGGGATTTTGGACCTGTACTGAAAGTTTCCTCCAAAAGACGTCCCTGAATTAAGAAAGATAAGTAGTATCCTTCTTAATTCCAAATGCTGGTCACTGTATTATTTTACACCTGCCTCAACACAGCCTTGCAATACAAGAAACAAGGCACATACCGTAAACATCCTACCTGAAATTTCATGATTCCTGAATACAGTTGATTACAAACTGCTATGAAAATCCTTTGCATAGACTATGTTGCCTTATTGGTTGGTAAGGCGTGACTTGGATATATGGCTCATGAAATACGGTCTTAAAATACTCTTATTATAAGAAAATTAAATGCATGTCAATTTGTATAAGTAAAATCCAAATTGACTGACTGGCTTGTTTGTATTGAGCTTATCTGATACCTGTGTTAAATTTAATTATATAGCATCACTTGATTTTATAGGGTGCCTCAAAAAATCATAGGAGTTCCACAGTCTCAAAAGTTTGGGCTCCAATAGACTAAATCCAATGTCTTACTACTTTCTCTGACTTCTTTTACTGTTTAATGTTTGGGCTGGTAAGTCTTGTAAGTGACCTCAACTTCCTAAATTCCTGCTGTTTTTCTTTTATCAAAATTGAACCACATCAATGTGCAGCATTCCTACAAGAGTTTCTTCTAACTTTTTGTCTATTCTGTGTGCACTCGTGCTTTCATCCAAATGCCAAAACCAGCTGCTGTAACTTTACTGGATGTCATTTTCAGAAGCAGCAATCTTGGGTTGAATAAATTAAAACTAATCTGGAGGCTGTTTTATCTACAGAGTTTTTATGTTCAGGTTCTCTGTTTGTTGAGCACATTCTAGATTCAAAGCTCAGCAAAAGCAAATGCCTACAGATGTGCAAGGAAATCCAGTCCCTGTGCCTAGCTAGAGTTAATCACAGCATGACCAATCAGTCATCTCATCTCTGACAAAGGGGTAAAAATATACAGTGGAGGAAAGAGCCTCTTTAACAAATGGTGCTGGGAAAACTGGTTACACATGTGCAAAGACTGAACCTAGACCCATATCTAGCACCAGGCACCAAAATAAAACCAAAATGGATAAAAGACATGCATATTAAAACAGAAACAATCTGCTAGAAGATAAAATGAGTAAAATTCAATAAGACATAAGTTTAAATAAAGACTTTTTTAATAAATGGGACTATGTTGAAAGAATCGTCACAGAAGATGAAACAACCAGCAGAGTGAAGAAAAAAACCTACGGAATGGAAAAAAACTTGCCGGTTATTCCTTAGACAGTGGACTGAAATTTATAAAGAACTGAAAACACTAGACTCCCCAAAATAATGAAAGATCCAATCAAGAAATTGGCAATGAAAATGATCAGATACTTCTCAGAAGTAAAAATGGCCAATAAATAGAAAAAAATTCATCAATTCATGTCATTAGAAAAATGCAAAGTAATTTGCAGGATTCCATCTTTAGAGGGAATGACTACCAAACTCAAAAGCTAGCAAGGTTATGGGAGGAAAGGAACCCTTCTACATGGTTGGTAGGAATTTAAACTAGTACCATCACTGTGGAACTCATAGAGACATTCCTCAAAAAGCTATCAATATATATTCCATTTGACCCACATATTCCCTTTCTAGTGATCGTCCCAAAAGGGTCAACGGTATCACATCATAGTGATACATACATGTCATGGTTTACGTCTGTGTCCCCCAAGGCCTCATGAATTTGCATTGTGTATTTGTGATTGGTTCATTGTCTAGTGCTTGAATTGATGGTGTCAGTACTACACCCACATAGGGGTGGATCCAGGATATGATGTAATGGCAGGAAGAAGTGTGTCTTGCTCTTTGCTAGTTCCTGTTTGCTGTTTGCGGCCACCATGAACTATGGCCCAGCCATGCTCACCTGTCTTGGAGCCAACTGAATGTGGACTGAAACCTCCAAAAACTGTAAGAAATAAACCTTTCGTTTCTCAACTTTGGGCTTCAGGTATTTTGTCTCAGCGACAAGTAAAAAGTAACTAAGACAATACATATCCATGCTTATAGCAGCTCAACTTACACACTAGTTAAATCTTGAATGAGGCCTGTGTGTCAATCAACAGATGACTAAAGAAAATGAGGTATTAATACGGAATAGAGTACTGCTCTGCCATAAAGATGGATAAATGTGAGGAAATGGATGCACCATGATGTTATGTAACATAAATTAGACACACAATCTTAAATAGTGCGTGGTTTATCTTATATGAGAAATCCAAAGTATAAATAATTTAATGAGGAAATAAAAGATGGGTAATCAGAAACAAGAAGACGGAGCTTTTGCAAATGGGAAACAGATCTAGAGATGAGAAGAGAAAGTAAAAAGAGTCAAAATAATGTCACGTGCTTGTACCAACACCCCTTTTGAATGTGATCGCTGTACTGAAAACATATTAATGAAATCTATACATAAAAGCAAATAAAATAATTGCCACATGAAAAAAAGAAATAAAGTATTATGTTGTCAATTTGAGTAGAGCTAAAAAATTGAACACACTCTATTGTAAATGTGGGATGGTAGTTATTCTTCAAGGAAAGAGGAATAATCAGTTCTCATTAATTTTTGCAGAAAGACATTTTTGATTGAGAGCAATCTATCAATTTGATGATTATGAGCAGAGAATTTGAAATGTTTTCATATCACAACAGCTCCCACTTAGTTGGAATGATTTGGTCACAATGGTGGGGAAAATGATTACTGAGAAAGCAACATTAGAAGTTGTAATGGATCACTCCACCTGTGAAGCATAACATATCCAAACAACAGACAGTTGTCAGAGCAACACAGATTTCATTGTAAAGAACTAGTTTAGAATTTTCCCTCCCGGAATAATTTTGAATAAAGTACACCCGGAATGCATGGTGAGGTATAAAACAAACAACTATTACTAGGAGAAAGAAGAAACTCTTGATTTGGGCTCTGTATTCCTGGTGGGTCCACATGTCGGGCCATAGAGCCTTTATCAATTGAAAGATGACAACCAGCTGTACCAGGAAAAGGATCACAACCATGCTCATTATAATGACGATCATAGAGTAATTCAAGATAATGATTTCCCTCCTGTTGAGATCTCTGTAGAACTCAAAGCATCGCTGTTGTTCTAAGTGACTTGTATCTGTGCCATATTGTAAAAAGAAAACTGGCAAAAAAATGAGGCTTCCCACTACCCAAATAATAAGACTTGAAACTATTGCATGGCGCTTTTTCAGCTGCTGCATTTGGAGTTTCCTGAAATAGATGAGCAGTCGGAGTATGACAATGGCCACATAGAAGACAAAGGTGAAGTACATATGGCTGTAGATGATGCTGCTGACCATCCGACAAGTAAAGGATCCAAGGTCCCAGGTGACTGAGAAGTAATAGCTGACACGGAAGGGAAGGCTGACCAGCAGGATGGAGTGCAGTGCTATGATATTGAGGACAAATGTGGCCACCACTGATTGACTGTTCCTTTTGAACATCAAGCAAGACATCATAACCATGCCAGTAATGCCACCAAGTAAAACCACGCTGTAAAGTATTATCAGAATAATCCTGCAGTGCATATCGCATTGTTCGAACTCTGTGTTTGACGCATTCTCCAGGATGCTTGCATTGATTATCTTCATGCTTTGCCACGAAGAGCTTAGAAGATTATAAAACTCTAAATCGAAAAGTTTACAGAGTTATGATTACTATATTGTAGCTGAAATTATACAACCTAAGAATGAATAGTATTGAATTTTGCAATCCTCGACAACTATTTGAAAACCAAAAAATATTGTTAGAGATGTTTTCCAATAATTCAAACATAGTGAAGAGATAGAAGAGAGTGAAATACACTAGTAAAAATAAGTTAAAATGTTAAACTCAGAGTCATGCGCATAGTTATTCTATAAACAGGCATAGTCCTATATATGTATCAGAATAAAAATCAGGAGATCTCCTCTCATCTATTTCAAGTTTCAGGTACAAAACTTAAGGAAGGGCCAAACAACTAAGTAACCAAAATAAATAATGTTTCAATGTAATATGTTAAAAATGAAATGAATACAAAAATTCATGATGAAAAATGACAAATTTTAAATAAAATCATGATTAGTATACATTCAGTGCACCTTCAGGTCAAAATCATGTAGGTCACCTGCCCTATTATCAAGCAAACTAATGTGGGATAATGTAAAGTTAAACACATACATCATGTGTAATTATTGTAAGAAGGGGTCCCAGACACCTTCTTGAGTAATTTCTGTGACACCTTCTTGAGTAATTTAGAAAGAGAGCAGCCTTGGGCCTGGGGATTTAGCTCAGCAGCATAAGCACCTGCCTTGCAAGCAGGCAGTCGTGAGATTGATCCCCGGTACCGATAAAAAAGGAAAAAGACAAAAAAAAAAAAAAAAAAAAAAGAGAGAGAGAGAGAGAGAGCAGCCTGTAATTCATATCTCCTCAACCCTTGAACTTGAATCTTTTCTTGCGTTGCTATGTTGCAATTTGGTGGAAAGGCGGAGCTTAAAAGTAGGTTAATTGCTATTTAAGCCTTGCGGTTGTGAGTGTAAGAAACCATGATCTTGCTCAGTTGGAAGCCAGAGCACTGAGCACCTACTATCCTGCAAATGGGTGTCAATCCTGCCATTTAATTGCTGAGAGACTGGGCATGAGTGCCTTTGGCTTCTTGGAAATTTATCTGTTAAATGAGAAATCTTGTACTAACTGCATTAAAGAATTATTCAAAAATTAGTCTTTGAGACAGTTTTATAATTGGAAAAAGTATGTATAAATGTTATGATTCTTAAAGTTACAAAAAGGACATTTTTTGTACCTTCTTTACTCTAACAAGGGGCAGATATATGGTTAGGTTGTATACAATTGTTGCTGTATCAATAAATATATCATAAATCTCAGACTCTCTTGAAAACAAAAGGAAAAATTTTAGACCTTTGTTTTGACAATTTGAGTTCCAGGATACAATAACTCAAACTTTTCTCATTGGAAAGATTTATGTCATTTCCCCATGAAACTCCTGCCCTCCTGGCCAAGGGCAGATTTTAATCGCTGGTATCTGACTGAGAAAAATCAAATGGGATCTAGCATATTTAATGTCCTCAATAAAATTTTATTGTAACTTGACATAATTATGACTTACAGAGAAATCCAACTTTTATATATTAAAATATGTATTTTAATAAAGTATATACATACAAGCTTTTTATGTGAAACAGTATAACTTTGTGTGCAGAAAAGATAATATTGATTTTGTTATAAATTTTGGTCAAGCCAATGCAGGTAAGACTTAATTAAGTTTGAAATTATTTTAAAGCAATGAATGCCTAAATTTTTAATGGGTTTCACAGTTTAAATGGACCCATCTCCTAAGGCAGTGTTTGCAAACACTGCCACATTCACCTGGCTAATGATGAGCAGACATTTAAGACCATGGTACTACTGTCTTCTGCAGTACAAACAGAACTATAGGGTCTACTTTGCACGATATTTGTGGCGTTAGGTTATATCTGTAGAGAACCTAACAGACTCTCTGAGTCAACATCATTTTTCACTCTACAATGCACACAAAGATATTACATAAAAATAAGACCCAAGAGTCTATTCACCAGACAGATACTAAATTCATAGGTTAAAGTTATAGAGAAAGGAAAAGTTAGATATCATTTTTCTTTTCCCTTAAGACTTTATGCTTATGACCACAACACCACCTCACCACCTTTAATAACACTTTTCAAAAGCCTACAATTCTAGGTATGTTTTTGCACATTAACACCAAATACTGACATATCTACAGACTCGTTGTACCTAGAGAGAAATGGCCACCCACGCTACTTACTGTGTCGTCCTCTAATGATTTGCTTCTGAGGATGACTTAAGGCACGTTGGTCATTTGTGGATCTACCTCAGGCAGGCAATAAGCACAGTTTGCTGGAACAAAGAGCCCAGTAGCCAGAGCAGCCAGGTGAATTTGTGGGATGGATGATATACACAGAGATGCTCAAGCCTTAGACAAAATTAAGCAGCCAAATTACTGGGTCGAGATAAACCATCCAAACCACAAACGGATGTTTATCACTACAGTTGGTTGTGACACAGAATGAGAGTTAGTAAAGACTTTTATCTTCACTGCCGATGACTTATCTTTCTTGGTAATGTGAAAAATTAATTTTTCACAGTGTTATTTCTCTTCCCACTTTTACACTTCCCAAATGTTTCACATTCAGAATCAGAATGTGTATGTTGAGAGGGAAGCACTTTCTGTGCAATTTTTGCATACTCAGTGTAAGCTCAAAATATTTATACACCTTACTTTTGATTTCCAAAATCGCCTTTGTCTTATGATGGTTCTTTTGAAGCTCGACCCTCTGGTAGTATAACTTCAACAAGAAATCTCTTTTTTATTTCCAAAGTCTTTAATTTTTTTTACATGAGTCTTCTCACTTTGTGTTCTAATTTCATAGGCATCATGAACTATCCTAAGATGTCAAAGAATAATTTTAATGAAATATTGAGCTTAATAAGAAATAAAGCCAGCAAAGAAATAACAGGCCTTGAGTAGTTGCAGGTAAACATAGCCCAAGTCTTACTATTGCTCAGTATGGAAATTAAAGAGAATTTAAACTTTACCATCTATAATGCAAGTTTATAATGGCCTACATTTATGTACCAGATAATAAAATTCACATTTGCTTTGGAAAAAAAGCAAGTATTATCCCTACCTGAACCATCTGCTACCTGATCCTCCAGCAGGGCTTGTGACCACAAAGATATAAAACAGGAGCATCAAAATGTGATAGAGCCATATGCTTAATTATCTCAAGAAAAACTCTCAATGAAAGATAAAATTTCACTTCTTTTCATGAAACTCAGATTTATACCAGCTCAACTCAGCTGGAAAAATTTCATATGGAACTAATTTTTCAACCAATTTTAAACATTTCTCCTTAAGTCAAATTAATTCAAAGATACGAAATCTGGGTTATAGGCTCAGAATTGAACATATTATCTGACAATCCTTATTTTTCAGATAAAATGTGTTCCTGGAGTCTGCAGAATAAAGTATGTTCCCATAGAAACCATGCTATATTTAGGGATTGTTTGTCTGACGAAGGACAAACTTGGAAATAAGTTGGATGAAACCAACATTGGAACATGAAAATAAAATTCAGTTATGATTCAAATTTATAAGCTGAACACAAATTAATCACTCCCATTGATTACATAGATTTCTCCTATGCAGTCTGTGTGCTGGATTTATAACACAGCTAAAAGAATCAATGTATTCCACACTTTCCTACCATAGTCAGAATTCAGCTCCTTCTCCTTGGGGAAGGGGCAATAGTTTAAAGAAATATAGCACATTCTTAATATGAGAGCTTAGAAATAATTTCCTCCAGAAGAGTGCAATCTTCATATTTAGTGGATGAAGCTATCAAAATTTAGAGTTTAGAAAATCACCACCAGGCGACAGAACTAATGAGAGAGTACCTAACTAATGATAAAAATCAGGATCCCTGTTCCAAAGTTTCGTCCCCACTACATCATGACGCACATAATGGGAGGAATTTGAGACAGTCTCTGAGGGGCATGTTAAACACCTATGACTTTATTTCCCAACTTTTCCTCTGAAATCTTTGGAATGGAATTAAACCTTTAACTGAAAGTGTATTTAAAAATTCTACAGAATGAAAATTTCTCATATATATATATATACCCTTCAAACAATTAGAGTAAGTGAGGCAGTTTGGAAGGTGCCATAGCTATTTTTGCTGACAGGTGCCTTAGAGGGGGTCCTCAGAGGGCAGCCCTGCTCCTGAAGCAATAGGATGGAGGCCACTTACCTTGTTTAGAGCTGTTAAAGTGCTAACATCATTAGGAATATCCTTAATCGAAATTTTCCCAGGTAAGTAGTAACAAAACTAATAACTAAACTGTCTACCCACAAGTTATTAACCAAGACTTTTAAAATGCCAGGATTGGTGTCATGTTTGGTCCAAAATACTCAGAGACTGAACCAGTCTTGACATCGGACCTTTCATTATCCCAGGAATCCACTTCTTAGTCTCTTTGTTCATCTCTCTGAGGATGTTTGTGTGCATCTGTCTTCTTTCTCCCAGAAGCAACAGAATTTTCTCCTGTGAAGACATGAGATTTGGATTGAGAAGAATCCAGATGGATCATCTCATTGTTCTCCTCTGCTCTGAAGATGAAAGCTACAGACTCAAGAAGAACATTCTATATCTGTCCCCGAGGAATATGGCCCACGCTGGTATTTCTGAGCACCTTTAAGTGTTAAGGAAACAAACATTAAAAAAAAAGGCCAAACGTTTTCTGACATTTCTTTTCTATTTGTATAAAAAAACTTCAAGTAATAAAGCTACAGTTGGCACGCAAAAGTCTTGTCTAGTTGAAAATCATGGCTGTTAGTCTTTAAGTACATATACATCCAAAGCCTTTCCCTATTTCTGTGGGTTCTAGATGAGAAAATTTCAAACTCAGATGGAAAAATATTATGTCCGTACTTAATCATCATAGGCTTTTTGTTTTCATTAGTCCCTAAACAATAAAGCTGTTTTCATAATATTTACATGGTATTAAATATTATAAGTAATATTACAAGTAATCTGCAGGTGATGTGAATTTATAAGAGGAAGATTGGAGGTTATATGCAAGCATGACCTCATTTTATGCTGGGATTGCAGTTATGTGCCAACGTGCCCAGCTGGTCTTGCCTCTTTGTGAGAGGGCTACAATATCTTACCATTTCAGATGCATCCTAGAGCAGGGATATAGTCAATCAAGAATAAATCTAGCACATGCCTATAATCTTAGCACTTTTGGAGGCCGAAGCAGGAGGATCACAAGCTTGATCTCATCCTGGACAACTTAGTGACTTAGAAAAACTCTGTTTCAAGATAAAAAAAAAATAAATTTAAAAAGATCCAGGGAAGTACTTCAGTTGGAAGACCCAGGGCTCATTCCCCAACACCACAAAAAGAAGAAAAGGGAAACAGTTTGTTCAAAACAGACTTTTCCTATCATTTCTCATTTCTGATCTCTAAATGCTGTACACTTATTATCTCTTGTGCCTTGGGGTTCCAGTCTAATTTAATTATGGAAAAAAATTTACCTCTTGAAAATTACCGTACAATGTAGTTTAATTTTTTCCTCTTCCATTTTCTACTCTTTTATGAAACGAAGACCCTGTTGCCTCAGAGCACAGGAAAGGAACAAGCAGTTTTACTAACACTTGATAGACAGACACTAGACCAAAGAAGGAGATGCGGCTCAGATCAGTAGATTAAACCCAACTGTCTACTGAAATGATATTTATCATGGAGCTCTGACATCCAGAGGGAGTTCACAGTGTATTTGATCAGCGTGATAAGGAAGACATGGTGGCAAATTCGCAGACAGCACGTTCTTCTTCGGATTTCTAGGATCCAAACACTCCTCTGTGGCTGCAGTATTGAAGAATTAACCCGGAGGAGCCACATTTCTCAGCTGTTACTGCACTGCTGCGTCACCTCCGACCTCCTTGTGCCCCAGCTTCTGACTCAGCAAGCCTTCTGTGGGTCCAGAGGTCCTGCATCTCTAACTCACACGTCCACACACCCGCTGCCTGCAGCGGAGCCCACAGGCACCATCAGTACGGTAGCTATTTGCCACATGCTGCTATTTCAATTCATTTTCCTTATGTGAAATTTCCCAAGTTACTTCCTTGTCCACATTAGCCACACTGGAAAGGCTCCATCTCTGAAACTTCTTTGGCATCCATTTATTAAAGAAAATAGGACCAATGAAACGATTCCTAATTGCTGTGATCTCACCTCTTCTCTTTCCTGGCTAGGAGCTGCCAGCTCTTGTTTGGAGGATAGTACACATCAGTTGGGGAAGCATGTGTGTCTGGAAGCGGGAGAGCAGGGCTGGAAAGAAGCAAAAGGTGGTTACAAAATCCAAACACAAGAGTGTTTGAAAAGGTTTGTAGTCAGCAGGGTCAAATGTTACTGAAGAACAAAGACACTGGGGTTTGGAAAGCGTTCCTGTCCATCTAGACAGGAGCAGAGGAAGAGGCAGTAGTTGACAGACTGCTGTGATAAACAAGGATCTTTTGGGGGGGTGGAAGCTTTTTGTTTATTTATATGACAAAACTCAACAGTGCTCACCTTGGGCAACGGGGGTACTGGCCAGAGGGAGACACTGGTTCCCAGAGTCCAAATCAAAACAGGCCCTACCTGACCTAGTTTGTGTTTGACAGTTCAAAGGCACAAAGTAAACGCCATTAGCCATTAATGATTCCAGAGTCAGTCTTAAGGCACAGATCCTAAGCCTCCAAAGGAACCTCACATTTCCTTCTGACTCACCAGAAAAATAATTGCTTTTCTTTATTATACCAGTGTCTACAGAACTCTTGACTCTTTGGCAGGCTCTGGTTAGGACAGAGAGCAATTTCACTAATCACTTTTTATTCACAATCTCTCCAGACCTTTAAAAATCATCCCTTTTTTCAAAGAGAGGCCATGCCTGATGGGATTTTGTGGATGGAAATCTGAGGCCTTGTTCAGAGTCTGAAAACCGGTTTTAATTAGGTGCACAGGCCAACCTCCTTTTAAAGGCGATAAAAGTCTTTAGAGTTGCATTAATTGCCCTATTATTAGTAAATAAAACAGAAAACACAAAAGCTTATAAAAGGCAGTAGGAAGCAGAGTGGATTACATTTTTCCCATTACTGCAGCACAAAAGCCTGCAAGGAGACTGACGTGCATCACCTGCTCCGGTAGAAAAGGCTTAATTTAGCCCAAGGTGGTACGGACATTCTCAGAACATTGCCTTCTGTGTAGCTCCAAGTTGCTGCTAGACTACTGTGGTATTGCCATTTGCAGCAGCAAAGGACATGCGGCATGTCACCTGGATTAGTCTCAGAACAATCAGAATCTGGATTCTGAAGCAAACTGACTACTGCCATTCTGAGCTGAGCAAAGACCACATAAACCCCCATATACACACTGCTGTGCTTTTGTATCTGCTAAAAATGTATAATCGTAGATTGATAAGACTCAGTAGCCATAGCTGA